ACAGCCGATTGAGTACATTCTTTTGAAGTGTAGCCACAAGGAAATGGAGCAGCTAATGTGCACAGTACAGTGAGATAATGACTAATAGTCTGTTTTATAATTATGTTGTCTGAGGGATAAATATTGGCCAGGACACAAGTGATAACTCCCCTGCTTTTCTTTGAAGTAGTGCTGTGGGATCTTTTATGTCCACCTGACAAAACCTTAATTCACCATATCATTTAAAAAGGAGCAGTGCAGCACTCCCTCTGTTTTGCTTGGAATGTCGGATTAGATTGTTTCAAGCTGAAGTTCTGGATTGCAATCCGAACCCAATAGCAACAGTGCTCCAACTGAGCTGCAGCAGACACAGAGAGAAAGGAAGATTGGAGGAAGCTAAAGATATATTATGTTGTGACAACTTGTTACAGTTTAATTCCTAACGAGTATGGGGCTCTGATTTCTGCACTGGCAGACTGTGAAAGGAATCCTGAGCGCTCTCCACATGTCAAGTTCATGATCTCAAACTGAGTTCCAGAGAGATGCTGACTGTTAACCACAGGTCATTGCCTAGCAACAGAAGGAAAACTAAAGTCAACATTGGGTGCTCTGGCATATCTTCTTGTTGTCCGTTGAGAAAGTTGACTGACCACCTCCCCAGCATAATGTACTGATAGTGACAACTTAAGAAGACAACAGCAACAATTAAACACCTGTGATCGGGAGAGCCTCTATAGCCTCCTGCTCTAGAGTCTTAAAACTGTTTTGGTTTTCCAGCATGGAGTTCTGAATGAAACAAAACTCTTGAATGCTGTGGGTTTTGTTGTATCAGTTAAACAGATCAGTCTCTTAGAGAAAGGCAACTTGATACATGAGTACCATATTTACAAAAGATTAAGGTTCCCTTCAAAAGTTAGTGCAGCATTAAATATTGAGTTTTCTCTAAACTAGCCTGTTATGTTTGATAGAAAGTCTGTGGAGACCTGGAGAAACAGTGTAAATGGAGAACTGTTGTGGCAGTTAATGCTTCTGGCACTCTGCATAATGTGTCATCATGAAAACACAACCCTTGAGAGGCTCAATATTCTCTGTATCGCCATGGGGTTGGAAACCTGAATATATTGTAACAGCAAAGTACCCTTAGGAAGTCCAAGCATAAATAATACTCTGAGTGTCCAGAATAATTGAAGGCTTGTTAATAACGTAAAAATAAAGCGGGTTATAAAATACAATGCACAACACTTTAAGTGTTGTAGTTGGGTAAAGCCGACGTAGAGCCACTCCCCTGTTAAAGAGGGGATAACGAGTGGTGAACTTAACCTGAGGGTCATCATGACTAAGGTGAAGAGCAAGATTGACAAGGTGGGACCTTCATGGTAACCCCAGCCATTTTGGGATCTGATCCCACAATGTTGGTGTTATTCTGCATTGCAAACCAGCCATTCCAGCCAAATGTGCTGACCAACCTGCACTGCACTGCATTAAACTGGACAGAAAGACAAGCCTCGCTTTTTATCTGATATGCTTACGTGACCAATACTCAGCATGTTCCACACACGCACGGAATGCTGCATCCCCATTGTTGCCAACATAACTCTCAATTCTCTCCTTCCCCTCAAGGGTCCAGGCTGCTACTTCCCCTTCCCACTCACTGTGGAAAGAATGGGTGGCACGGTAGCTCAGTGGTTAGCACTGGAGCCTCACAGCGCCGGGGACCCAGGTTCGATTCCAGTCGGGCAACTGTCTGTGTGGAGTTTGCACATTCTCCCCATGTCTGCATGGGTTTCCTCCAGGTGCTCCAGTTTCCTCCCACAGTCCAAAGAAGTGCAGGTTAGGTGGATTGGCTATGCTAAATTGCCTGTAGTGTCCAGGGATGTGTAGATTAGGTGGGTTAGACAAGGGAAATGCTTGGTTACAGTGTAGGGGAATGGGTCTGGGTGGGATGTTCTTTGGAGGGGCGCTGTGGACTTGCTGGGCTGAATGGCCTATTTCCACACTGTAGGCTTTCTATAATTAATACAGGGCACCTGCCTATGCTGCTGACCAACGATGGGTTCCTGTTCTCGGATTCCAAGAGAATCAGGGTGCAGGCCTTGGCCTTTTCCATGTTTCAGCTCTCTCCTGATCCACCCAGCGAGGATGATCGCAGAGTTGTGTGGTAGGACCTGTCACAGGTGGGCCTGGGGTGCACCAGGACACTCAACACTCCCGTGATTTTGGCAGGGGCTGCATGGCTCCTTCATGCGGCTCTTGAGGAGTAAGTCCCTGGAGCTGGATGGGTTGCCCGTGGATTTCTTCAGCAAATTGTAACTGACCGTGGGTCCTGCAGGAAGGTTTAGCAGCCAGAGAGATGTCCGTTTCTTGATGCAGAGCCATTGTTATCCTGCTGCCCAAAAAAGGAGGCCTCATATATTAAAGAACTTGTGGCCGGGCTCTTCCCCCATCACTGATTATACCGTATTCCCAGGCTGTTGTCGTCTCACCTTGAATCCGTCTGGGACCATATGATCCACCCTGATCCATCCTATATGACTGGAGGTTCCATGACAATATCCATCTGCTCCAGGATCTGATCTGCTTTTCCTAGAGGACTGGACAGTCGAGCACCTTCCTGTCCTGTGATCAGGAGAAGGCGTTCAACAAGGTGGATTATGCGGATCTGCTCGGAACACTGTTCATCGCCCAGATCCAACTTGTGTACGTTGCCACAGAGTGTCTGATTGTGGGGAATGGGTCCTTGACAGCACTGTTTTGCTTCGGGAGAGGAGTAGGCTAAGGCTGTCTGGCTGGCTGTATTCCCTGTGCGTGGAGTCTTGCAGAAGAGGCTGTTGGTGTTGGCTGTGCTCGTGCCAGGGCTGGATGTGGTTCTATCCGCGTATGCCAATAACGTGCTCCTCACGTTCACCGACCTGGCTGACCTGGGAAAGGGCGTACAAGTGCCAGGCAACTGGGTCAGAAGTACCGTACTCCTGGCCCGTCCGTGGCGGGTAGATTCTTAGCCTGAGGAGTTATGGCGGTTCACCACCCACCTCTTCTGGATTGGCCTCTACTTTAGCCCGGATGAGGAATCCTGGCCGGGATGGGGGATGAATTGGCAGGTGTCAGAGGCCAAAGGCTCGGCCAGCCTCGGCCCCTGGGCAGGAATGCTCTGAGTGCTGTCTTACAGGCGCTGAGTGCTGGTCAGAAACCAACTCGTGGTCTCCATGTTGTGGAGGGTGTGGCTTGTCCTTTTGACCCCTCCCCTTGGCTTTGTTACAACGATCCAGAAGATGTTGGTCATTGTGTCCTCGGATAAAAGGAAACACTCGGATTGCTGCAGAGCTTCAGTCTCTGCTGTAAGAAGGGGGCAGTCAGTCACTGGTATACTGGAGATAGCAGGAACTGCAGATGCTGGAGAATCTGAGATAACAAGGTGTACAGCTGGATGAACACAGCAGGCCAAGCAGCATCAGAGGAGCAGGAAGGCTGACGTTTCGGGCCTAGA